CTGATGCCCACATTCAGGGGGTCTTGATCAGTCCCATGCTGGATTCCCAGCCATCATTCTGGGATTCCAGATGTAACCCTTGTTGGTCAGCTGTTTCTTGCTGTTAAACCAGCCCATTCCTAACTCCTTTGCTCATCAGGCTGCCCTCTCTGTCACTGGGTTCCTTGAGTTCAGCACTGTGTTTAGCTGTAGGAGTCTGACTGTGCTTCCATCAGCCATTGAATAAAGGTTTTGTTTCCCAGACTCTATGGCAGTTAAGATTTTAGGCTGGCACTCCCCATATCTATGTCTAAAAGCCATAAATGAGAGTGTACATATCATGTTTCTCTTTTTGTGACTCGGTTACCTCACTCAGGATGTTTTCTTCTAGTGCCATCCATTTGCCTACAAATTTCAGGATTCCATTATTTTTTTCTGCTGAATAGTACTCCATTGAGTAAATGTACCACATTCTCTGTATCCACTCTTCAGTTGAGGAACATCTAGGTTGCTTCCAAGTTCTGGCTATTACAAATAATGCTGCTATGAACATAGTGGAACACAGGTCCTTGTTGTATCAATGTACATTTTTGGATATATGCCTAAGAGTGGAATATCTGGCTCTTGTGGTAGGCTTATTCCCATTTTTCTGAGGAATCTCCATACTTATTTCCAAAGTGAATGTAGGAGTTGGCACCCCACCAGCAGTGGAGGAGTGTTCTCTTCAACCTCTCCAGCATAAATTGTCAATGGTGTTTTTGATTTCAGCCATTCTGGCAGGAGTAAGATGGTATCTCAGAATTGTTTTGATTTTCATTTCCCTGATGGTTAGGGATGATAAGCACTTTCTCAAGTGCCTCTCTGCCATTTTAGACTCCTCTATTGAGAATTCTCTATGTAGTTCTGTAGCGCTCTTTTTAATTGGATCCTTTAGTGTTTTAGTGTCTTGCTTCCTGAGTTCATTGTAAATTTTGGAGATCAGCCCTCTGTCAGATGTGGGGTTAATAAATATCTTTTTCCATTCTGTGGGCTGCCTTTTTGTCTTGTTGACTGTGTTCTTTGCCTTGCGGAAGCTTCTCAGTTGTAGGAGGTCCCTTCCTCAGTGTGTGATCTACTGGTGTTCTGTTCAGGAAGCTGTCTCCTGTACCAATTCATTCAAGGGTACCACCCACTTTCTTTTCTAAGAGGTTTAGTGTGGCTGGATTTGTGTTGAGGTCTTTGATCCGTTTGGACTGAAGTTTTGTGCATAGCAATAGACATGGATCTATTCACATTTTCCTACATGCTAGCATCCAGTTATGTCAGCACAATTTGTTGAAGAAGCTTTCATTTTTCCATTGTAAATTTTTAGCTTCTTTGTCGAAGATCAGATGTTCATGCATGTGTGGGTTAATATCAATTTTTTCGATTTGATTCCATTGGTCTACCTGTCTGTTTTTGTGCCAATAACAAGCTGTTTTCAGGACCACAGCTCTATAATAGAGCTTGAAGTCAGGGATGGTGATGCCTCCAGATGTTGCTTTGTTGAGTCCATTGTTATGTTCCCCCTTTCGTTTCTGATCTTGTTAATTTGCATGTTCACACTCTGCCATTTGGTAAATTTGGACAATGATTTGTCTATCTTATTGATTTTTTCAAAGAACCAACTCTTTGTTGCATTGATTCTTTGTATTGTTTGCCTAGTTTCCTAGTATGAATATTTCTTGATGTCTACTCCTCCTGGATGAGTTTGCTTCTTTGTGTTCTAGAACTTTCAGTTGTGCTGTTAATTCTCTAGTGTAACTTTCTCCAGTTTCTTCATGTGGGCACTTAGTTATATGAACTTCCCCCGTAGCTCGGCTTTCAAAGTGTCCCATAGGTTTAGGTAAATGGTGTCTTCATGTTCATTGAATTCTAGGAAGTCTTTAATTTCTGTTTTTTTTATTTCTTCTTTGAACCAGGAATGGTGCACTTGTGCATTATTAAATATCCATGAGTTTGTAGGGTTTCTGCAATTTGTGTTGTTGTTGAATTCTAATTTTAATGTATGGATGTCTGATAAGATGCATGGAGTTATTCCAATTTTTTGTACCTATTGAGGTTTGATATGTTGCCAAGTATGTGGTCGATTTTTGAGAAGGTTGCATGTGGTGCTGAGAAGAAGGTATATTCTTTTTTATTTGGATGGACTGTTCTATAGATGTGTGTTAATCCCAATTGGGTCATAACTTCTATTAGCCCCTTTGTTACTTTGTTGAGTTTCTGTCTGGTATTCCTGTCTAGTGGTGAGAGTGGGATGTTGAATTCTCCCACTATAAGTGTGTGGGACTTTATATGTGATTTTAGTTTTAGTAATGTTTCTTTTATGAACGTGGATGCCTTTGAATTTGGGGCACAGGTGTTCAGAACTGAAACTGCATCTTGGTGGATCTCTCCTGTTATGAGTATATAATGACCTCCTTGATCTCTTTTGATTGATTTTATTTAAGTCTAATTTCTTAGTTATTAGGATTGCTACCCTGCTTGTTTCTTCGGTCAATTTGATTGGAAAATCTTCTCCCAACCTTTAACTCTGAAGTAATATCTGTCTTTGAGGCTGAGGTGTGTTTCTGTATGCAGCAGAAGGATGGCTTCTGTCTTAGAATCCATTCTGTCAGACTGTGTCTTTTTATGGGCAAGTTAAGACCATTAATATTGAGGGATATTAATGAACATTGATTGCTCATTCTTCTTTGATATGGAATGGTTGCTGTTGGTGGAATTATGTGTGGAATTCTACCCCTTTTTTCTTTTTGCTGTTGGTAAGGTGAGATTATCTAATGCCTATGTTTTTCTGGTTGTATTTAATTTCCTTGGGTTGGAGTTTTCCTTCCAGAACTTTCTGTAGGGCTGAGTTAGTGGATATGTATTGTTTAAATCTGGTTTTGTCATGGAATATCTTATCTTCTCCATCTATAATGATTGAAAGCTTTGCTGGGTGTAGTAGTCTGGGCTGGTCCATGGTCTCTTAATGTTGGTAGAATATATATCTATGACCTTCTGGCTTTCAGAGTTTCCATGGAGAAATCAGGTTTAATTCTGATTGGTTTGCCTTTATATGTGACTTGGCCTTTTTCCTTACCTGCTCTTAATATTCTTTCTTTATTCTGTATATTTGAGATCTTGATTATTATATGGCAAGGGATCTTTTTTGTGGTCTACTCTATTTGGTGTTCTGTATGCTTCTTGTACATTCATTAGCAAGTCTTTCTTTAGGTTAGAAAAATTTTCTTCTATGATTTTGTTGAATATATTTTCTGCCCACTTGAGGTGATTTTCTTCACCTTCTTCTATACCTATTATTCTTAGGTTTGTTCTTTTAATGGTGTCCCATATTTCCTGGATGGTTTGTGTTAGGGATTTTTTGGACTTAAGATTTTCTTTGGTCAATGAATTAATTTTTCCTAGTATCTTCAACACCTGAGATTCTCTCTTTCATCTCTTGTACTCTGTTGGTTATGCTTGCATCTGTATTACCTGACCGTTTGCCCAGGTTTTCTATTTCTAGCCTTCCTTCACATTGTGTTTTTTTATTGTCTCTATTTGAGTTTTCAACCTTTGCACTGTTTGAATTGTTTCTTGCAGTTTTTGCTTTGCCTTTTTGTCCATTTGATGCATTTTTTGAATTTTTTGGTTTGTTATTTCTTTCATTTCTTGCAGTTTTTGGTTTGCTTTTTCTTCCATTTCTTTGAGGGATTTCCCTATATCTTCCTTTAGGGCCTCTATCATTTTCATGAGATTGTTTTAAAGGCCATTGTCTTCTGATTCATTTGCATTGACATGTTGGGTGGAAAAGGAGACCAGGCATCTGGAGTGGGTAGGCTCCCACTGGCTGTCTGCAGGTACTGTTCCACTGGTCCTGTTAGTGGAACAGAAGACCAGGTTTCTGGGGTGCATGACTCCTGCCAGGCCAGGAGGCTCTGTAGCAGTCCCCAAGCACTCACCAGGTACTGGAAGGCTGGCCTGGATACATGGCCGGGTTTACCTGGTCCCTTGGTCCAGTTGGTGGAAGAGAAGTCCAGGTATCTGGGGTGCTTGGCTCCAGCAGGGAGGCGAGGCTTTGTAGCAGTCCCCAGGCCAAGAAAAGTATATTTTTAATTCAAAATAATGTATCAAATTACAATCTTTATTGGAAGCATTTAATGTAGTATTTTATTCCTAAATACATAGATACAGCCTGCTCAGTCTGTGTAATGTCACTTGTATGTTTGTTTTCAGCTCTGACCATTTCATATGGGGTGACCAATTAGTGTGCACTTCCTTGGGGAAGACTATTTCTCCTGATCTTAGCATTCCTTCATGACCTCTAGTTTCCTGTGTTGGGTTGAGCTTCATGAGATTTCCCAATCCACTTTGGCATGCCTATTCTTATTGCCTTTGTACAGATGACAATTAGACAATCATGTTGCTAGGATTTCCAGGGTATAGGTTCTGACATGCCTAGGATAAACAATCTCACAGAAAACTCTGTGCTTCTGTGACTTTTACAGTCTTAGATCTCTCCCTTGTAATGTTTCCTGACCCGTAGTTGTTGGAGTAGTTTGGTAGATGCATCCTTTGGGACAGGTCTCCTTATCTCTGCATTTTGATTGGTTTTAGGTATCTGTATTTGTTCAAGCTGCTGCAAAAATAAATTTCATTAATTATCATCTCCTCAATGAAAAGCATTCAGGAAACTAGTTTTGAGAAACATTGAAATTGCTTTTGGATCATAAGATTCTTTTAATAAACACTTTATTAGTGTACTTCAGTAATCTGAGTCTTTCAAGAGTCCATTAAAATGAATACTTTCTGAAAAAAATGCTTTTCCAACAATCCTCCTAGACTCAAAGATAATTTCATAATTTTATAACTAAAATGGGCTTTGGAAGATCTGATGTTATCCTTTGTCAAAAGTAACAATACTGTGCATAAAAGCTAATTAACTTATCTAGTGTAATGTACTTTTTGTAGATGATGAAATAAAACTCTTGTATCCTTTTCTCCTCCATCACTGTGTACAGCCTTGCTTCTTGAGCTGAATTCACAACAAGAAAGTGGCCTACCAGGTAAGACTTCTTTGGAAGTCCTTCTCCTTGTGAGTGGCATTGCTGTTTTTACAGTATCTGTATTACTTAAGTGAAATAATCAAAGTTCTTCAATGTTCTCCCCAATATCTCTGAAAGCCCTCAAACCCCTATGCTAGCATTTTTCCATGGGATTCCTCTTATTCTAAGTCATATCTTTTAACAGTCGTTCCAGGGACTAAGGGAATTACACTGAGTCAATACCATTGCATTCATAATTCAGGTATCTTGAGTATAAATTATATTTGCTCTTGCTGCCACTATTTATTGCTAAATTTTTAATAACTTATTGGACTTTGATCAATTTCAGGGTCATTCACCTTAAATAATCAGCTGGGTCCTCCCATTAGATTTTTGATCGCTGTACACAGCAATGTCATATATTTAAACATGTGAAGTATAGTCGAAGTCATAGCAAAAACTTTTATGCCTCACTCAACACACCCAACTCAAACGTGAGTCTCCCCACAGCAATGGGCTAGAAATGTCAAAACAGGTAATTTTTAATGAGATTTGGGGTTTCCCGTTACTGAGTTCATAGTAGTACCAATAGCACATGTCATTCAGAATACATCCCTTGGATCTTATCTTGATTGTGCCACTTATCTTGGCAAATGTTGGCAACTCACTGAATGAATCCCTACTTTTTTCAGCCATTAAAATATGAATAACAGTAAATGTAGGAGGCCAAAATGAATGTTATATTGATATATATTTTAAAAGTTTTGCTCGTGTTATAACTACTAGATCATAAGTACAAAGGAAATATTTTCCTTATTTCATTTTACTCATTTCTTCTTGCAGCGTGAATAATAAAACCCAGAGAGAGATATTGAGGTTCAAGTGAGGACCAGAAAAACAAAGCAGTCAGCCAGTAGCTCTTAGCTCTCCCAAGGCTGAAATGAAGATCCTGCCTTCCCTGTGACTGGAAACTAAATCTCACATGAGACCCTTTGCTTTTTATATATTTCTCTAGTGCTGGGATTAAAGGTGTGAGTTACATTACCCTTTTATCCTGATTCACTCTCCTGCTGCCCAGGATGTTCTTAGACTCACAGAGATCCGTCTCTGTCTCCTGATTCCTGGGATTAAAGGTGTGTACCACTACTTCCTGGCACCTATGGCTAAGTAGTATGGCTAGCTTTGTATTCTGATCCCCTGGGAAGTTTATTAAATCATAAACAATATATCACCATATCTTCAAGTTCTTTTTGTCATTATCTACTGAAGATGGTTGGCATATTGACTAAGATGATCCATCAGTTGACAATGTGAAGTCAAGATCTCTAAGAATCTATATCTATGTACTTTCTACAAAATGCCAAGATATCTCTAAGTAATGCATAAATAGGTACATATCCACATGGTTTAAAGCTGTAGCTCTGCTCTATAATTCAGCTCACAAATAAAATAAATAATGTTACTGGAAGCTTATAATAGTAATAATTGTTGTATTTGTCTATTTATGTTATTGATAAACAAAGAATGTATAGAAATGTAAATATTGTCTTCAAATCCCGGCATCAATTTGCAAAAATATTTAGCTTGAATTGAATTTCTTTTTACAATTTTCAAACCCCATCCTCTATATCTCACAATGAATCATTGAGCAAGTGTCAAATACATTATTCATAAATAATCAAAATTGTTTAAAAATGTGTTGTTGTGTTCATCTGAGAAAACATAGCATGAAGAACAATTGCTTAGCAAATAACCTCATCAAATACAATGAATCCCATGGAAACAAAATTCATAATGAAAATGAAAGGATACAGCCTTAATAAGATTAAAAGAAGTAAGAATATCTACCAGGACAATATTCTAAACACAGGTATGAACTTTAAAAAATAGAAAACAAATAGAAAGGAAAGCATATAACAATATGTTTATTCAGTCATTAACACTAGGAATGTGAGCATTTCACAGTGTCACAGTTGTGAACACTGAAATAGCTAATAGCTGCATCTCACTCAGTACCACGAATTTAATAGGTTAGCAATATTGTTCTTGTATATTTCTGCAGTTTAATCAGTTTGTTCAATTTTCCTAACTTGATCTTTATTGGTAGAGGGCAGCTGGCTTAGCATGTGGTGGTAAATGCTATTAATTTGTAAAATACATTACACAGCAGTAGCTTAAAAGAATCAATAAAGTTATTATATGTCCTGACTCATCACGTTCTTCTTTATATTAGCAATGAATATTTTTACATACATTAAAGTAGTAGCAGTAAACTTAAAATCATCGGGATGAGGAGACATAGTTGACAAGTAGATATATAAAGTCAATTGTGATAATTAGGTGAATAAATTCTGTGTATCACACATATAGCTAACATATATCTCATAAAAAGAGTACATAATAAAGATTTACAATAGTTTTAAGAATGCCTTGACATTTTACTGCAATTTCACTTCAACATGCTCTCCTACGTTTTCTCCTGCAATATGGGATACATAGAATAGATCAAATATTATGTTGATGTAAAGGTAACACATGGATTATTTTCCTAAAATTTGGGTCACTTAAAGTAAGACTACCTTCTTGAGTTCTTTGTATATTTTAGAGATCTGCCCTCTGTAAGATGAGAGGTTGGTTAAGATATTTTTCCTTTCTGCAGGCTGCCATTTTCTCTTGTTGAACATATTCTTTGACTTACAGAAGCTTCTCAGTTTCAGGAAGCCCCATTTATTAATTGTCAATCTCAGTGTCTATGCCACTGGTGTTCAAGAAGTAGTCTCCTGTGCCAATGCATTCAAGGGTACTTCCCATTTTCTCTTCTAAGAGGTTCAGTGTGGCTGGATTTATGTTGAGGTATTTCATCCAGTTGACTTAAGCTTTGTGCATGAAGATAGATATGGATCTACTTGCAATCTTCTACTTGTGAGCATCCGGTTATGACAGCATCATTAGTCAAAGATGCATGCTTTTTTCCATTGTATAATTTTAGCCTCTTTATCAAAAATTGTGTGTTCATAGGTGTGAGGATTAATATCATAGTCTTTGATTCGATTCCATTGGTCTACCTGTCTGCAAGTGTGTCAACCATTATTATAGCTCTATAATAGACCTTGAAGTCAAGGATATGGGGTTGTTTTGGCTATCCTGAGTTTTTTGCTTTTCCATATAAAATTGAATATTGTTCTTTCAAGGTCTGTGAAAAATTGTGCAGGAATTTAAATGGGGATTGCATTGAGTGGAGAGGCTATTAAATGCCCTTGCCCTATAATGAAATTGCTGACTATCTTAAACACCATCCTAGAGCATTCATCCAGTAGCTGATTGAAGCAGAAGCATAGATTCACAACTAAACACTGAGCTCAACCCTTGGAATCCTGTTGTACAGAGGGAGGAGTGATGAGCAAAGAGATCAAGACCATGTTGGAGAAACCCACAGAAGCAACTAACCTGACCAAGTGGGAGTACATGTACCCCAGACTGACAGTTGTGAAATCAGCATAAGACCAAACCAGGCCCCGTGAAAGTGTGTGTCAGTTGGGGGGCTTGCGCACATTATGGGGCCTCTGGCAGTGGAGCCAGTTTTTATCCCCAGTGCACAAATGGGATTTGGGAGCCCATTCTCTATGGAGGACTACTCTGTCAGCCTAAATACACATAGGAGGGCCTAGGTCCTGCCCCAAAATGTTTGACAGAATTTGATGATCCCCCATGGGAGGCCTCATCCTCCCTGAGGAGTAGATGGGTGTGGGATAGGGGATGGGAGGGGAGTGGGAGGACTAGAGGGAGAGGGAACTGAGATTGGTATGTAAAATGAGATTGTTTTTAATTAAACAAAAATTAATTTAAAAAAGAAAAACATAAAGTATGACTCCTTAGCAATGTTATTTTGTCCATCTTGGAATCTTGACCACCCATAAAGATGAAGTGTGGCAGCAGTCCGCAAATCACAGAAGTTTAATATGTTTTGAAATAGTTAAAGAAACAGCAATGACAACCAAAATGCCACGCAGATTTATTGAGTACCTACAATAAAACAGAGGCTACTCAGAATATACTATTAAAAGCACAAGCACGACCCCCCAAAATTTTTCATGCTATATGTGGAAAATAGTGATGAAAATACAAAGAGAAATAGGAGGTGTTTTGTACAAAGTGAAAAAAAATAGTTCATGAAAAATATTCCATTCCCCATTAAGAGGATTGCACATTATTGTGAAAAAAAAATCAACCTAAAAGAAAAGTTTTTCCCCTGATATCATGAACATGTTAGAAAGAAACATAATGATAAAATCAAGATAGAATCATTTCCAAAAATTTCATAAAATGTATTTTGATCATCTTCTTTTCAATACACAAATTCCCCAGATGCTCCACCTCCACACCCATCAATTCAACTTCAGTTTCTTTCTAACTCTTAACAACAACAACACAATACTGAAACAAAAACCAACAGAAAGAACAAAGACTGGTTTTGTTGACTACTCCTGAGCATAAGGCCTGCTCAGGCTCAGGTTTGATATACCCATTTTCAGTCCATAGCAAAAAACTTATTTTCCCTGTCCCAGCAGACAGACAAAGCTTTTAAATATCCAGAAAGAAAAATCAACAGAACTTCCTTATTTCATACAATGCAAGAGCAGAAGGGAGAGTATGGTGGTTAACAAGGTCCTCAGGTTTCAAGGTTAAACAATTGACTGAATCTCATGTTTCTTCCTAAAGGAATGGGAACAATGTACCTACACTATTATTAAGTTAAAAGAGTGATTTCACACATAGATTTGTCCAGACTGTCATTTTAATAATTTTATTGTTATAAACTTTATTATGAAAATTACATATCAATAAAACATAACACACTTAAACAGGATCAAAGTCTGTACAGCTAAATGAAATTCGATGCAGTTACAACTGACATTCTAAAGAGAAGCTTTTAAACTTCACATTATACCTAGCTGTGACACCTATGAAACACAGTAATGTCCACTGTGGCATAATAACCCAAAGTTGGTATGTTTACCTTA